AAAAAAAGAGCCTTCTTTATAAAGAAAACAGCAGTCATTACAAACAATGTAAATTAGCAATTTAGTTACTTTCTTTAATTTCACAGAAATCTTAGATTCCAATGAGCAATGTAAGTACTTTGGTATTCTACTAGTCTTATTACCATAAACCAAACATTTGTGGGTAAATTGGTAACTAGGCAATTTACAATTGACAGAAAACCTGTTTTTCTTATAACAGTTATAATAAGCTTGTCAAATAACCGTATGACGATTTAAGGAATCCTAGAAGAGGTATAAAATTATAAGACATTCTCACACCAAAGAACAAATGCAGTGCCACATGTACACTCTCCTCAGAGGCTGAGATGGCGGTGTCCAATTATTGTCAATGTCAAGATTGGGAAATCGAAAAGGAAAGCCTCCCTTCTATGAGCCTCTTTCCACAACTGAGTAACTGAACAGGTGACCTAGGTACAATTCTAGGAAGGTTCTGAGAAGATGAGTGGTCCCTAGAGGGGTCTCAAAACAGAGTCATTCAGTGATCTCGGCCAGTTCAGACTGGGTAAGACTCCGACCCACGGCAGGGTCCGCAGAACCAAGAAGAATGAGTGGGGGGAGGTGGCACGGAGAGTGAGGACACTGACACTAAGATCACCCTGTGCGACTTCTGTGGTATGGACCGAAACGGTATTTTTTTCACTGATGTTCAATCTGGACGTTGCACATAGCAGGTGTTCATTAACTGTTTGCTGACTGAATGAATAAACAAACGTGAGCCACTAAGACCAGTCCAGAACTGCGGATGCACAATCGCCGCGGTCTCAGTGGCCCAGCCGCCCACCACCACCCACGCTAGACGCTGGCCAGGAAGCCACCCTCTCCTCCCCAGCCGCTTACAACCGGCATTAGCCACCAAAGGTCAGTTCGAAGCCGGGCCCAGGCTGCGCCCTGCCCCCGCCCCCGGGCAGCACTTACCATTGGTGTAAGGAGACCCCGAGGTCGCAGCGCCTCCGTTCTGGGCCTGGAGCCCGCTTGGGACTCCGCCGGAGGCCGGTATCCCCGGCTGGGACATGACGACGGAGGCTCTCTGGAATTGGAAGGGGTTGGCTGTGGTCAACCTCAACGCGAAGAGGAGAGCTGAAAGACGACTGCTGAGAGCGGAGGGAAGGGGGCTAACGACTCAGGACCGAAACGTGGAGAAGAGAAGGCGGCGCATCAAGCCCGAGGCATGGCTCTGCACTCTCCCCAGCCCGCCGGAGGCCGCGGCTTGGCCTAACAGCAGACGCTTCAGAGTAAAGCCGGTGGGGCCGCGAACGGCCGGCTGGGAGGCGGCAGCTAAGCCGAAAGAGGAGGGAGGCCCTGGCCGGAAGTGCCTGTCAGCCGCGGGCCGCGCACGCGCAGTCAAGACACGTGGCACTTCCGGCTCCGGGCTCCC